GGGTGGGGACGGCACTCAGCGGAACAGACGCGGCGGCCGCACCTCCTTTCTCCTCAGTAGCTGCAAGAAGGGAAGGGAATGACCGAGGGGGACGCGGCCAGCATCATCCTCCTCCTCCTCCTCCCGGTCTGTAGCCCCGGGCACGCGCCCTAAGGCTGGATGGAAGCCGGCTGGAGGCTTGGCGGTCCCTCGGCAGCTCAGCAAGGGCGTCCTCGAGTGCGCCTTGAGTCCCAGCGGGTCGCCTTCGAGCCGGGAGATGCTGAGCGGAGACGCCGAGGCTAGGCGCGAGGGGCGCGTGTCGCGGCCGGCGCGCGCGTGACTGAGGCGAGAGGGCGCCCGTCTCTCCCCTGATGGACGCGGGAGACCTCGGCACAGCTCAGCGTTGCTGCTGTTGCTTCTCGGAGGAGGACCGGCTTTGAGGCTGGCCGAAGGAGTGTCGCACTCCCCCCCCAGCTTTTTGGCGGGATGCTGAGATAGGCGGCATCCTCTTGAGGTCCTCCTGTTGGCAGGCGGCGTGACGAGGAGAGGAAGACGTCTGGGGGCGTGTGCGCTGCCGTTGGGGATATCTATCTATCTATCTATCTATCTATCTATCTATCTATCTATCTATCTATCTATCTATCTATCTATCTATCTATCTATCTATCTATCTATCTATCTATCTATCTATCTATCTATCCCTATACGGCGTTTTTTAAATTTTAATTTGGAGAGGGGGCGGGCGGCTGCGGCGCAGCTGGCAAAAAAGGGCTCCAATGGCCAGCCCCCGGAGGAACATAGAGCTGGAGCATTTCGAGGAAAGGGACAAAAGGCACCCGCGCTCGAGCGCCCGACGGGGAGGGGGCAGCTCGACTTGCAGCAGTAGCTCCGGGCCCAAAGGGAACGGGCTCATCCCGAGCCCCGCGCACAGCGCCCACTGCAGCTTCTACCGCACGCGCACTCTCCAGGCCCTCAGCTCGGAGAAGAAGGCGAAAAAGGCGCGCTTCTACCGCAACGGGGACAAGTACTTCAAGGGCTTGGTCTACCCCATCTCCAGCGACCGCTTCCGGTCGTTCGACGCCCTCCTCATCGAGCTCACCAGGTCTCTGTCGGACAACGTCAACCTGCCCCAGGGCGTCCGTACCATCTACACCATCGACGGCAGTCGGAAGCTCTCCAGCCTTGACGAACTGGTGGATGGTAAGGAGGGGAGCGGGGGGGGGCAAACATCTTCGCCTCAGTGGGCTGAGGGGAAGCAGCACAGTGCAATCTCATATATGGTCTACTCGGAAGTAAGTCTCATTGAGTTCAAGGGGGCTTGCTTTCAGGTAAGTCTGTGGACGATTTATACAACAGCCATCAAGGGCATTTACACAGCCAGAGTCTTCAAAAAAGGTATTTCTTTGTGACATTGATAGATGATGTCAACCTTTTCCTTGCCTGTGCTCATGAATGAGGATTTTCTCACGTTGAGATTTCCAGTAACAAGCCAGTGTGGTGCAGTAGCTGGAGAGTTGGATTAGGATTCAGGAGAGTTAAGTTCAAATCCTTGCTTGGGCATGGAAATTCATTGAGGTGTGGCAATGAGAAACAATGTCTTGGACATCTCACATTCTCTAAAAACCTGGCATGGTGGCCAAAAATCAGGAATGAATTGGCTGCACATAAGTGCAACAACAGGCCTATTAATCTGTTGCAGCATAGCTAGTGAACAGTTTTGGGGTGTTTTATGAGGTGCCACAAGACTACCATTCCTCCTCCTCTAGATATTATTAATATTTCCACACATCTAGTTAATTTGAATACTCATTAGGTCAAGAGAATGTGGAGCTAGAACCTTTTCTGATTAAAATTTTGGATTCTTCCAAGTTCCAAAAGCTTTTGGAATTATTCTCTTCTATCTTCAAGTTAGAGTTGACCCAAGATATTTTGCCAGATCAGACACAGCAGCAAATGGTGCCCTTCACTCACCCAGGATGAATGGTATCCACCAACAGTCAAGTAGGTGCATGTGGTTAAAAAAAAAATGACCACAAGCATATGTTCCCTGTCTCTGGCAGCAAACATATACAGTAAAGAAGTGTATACAACATATTTTGACGTTTCATGACACCCCAGAAGGACTTCCTCAGGGAGTTGCTTTATTAGTTGGAGAAGAGGGGGTTTCTTTCTCTATTTTGAACAAAGTTGGAGAATACAACTGTTAGAGAATACAACAGTTGCAAATATGGAGGGAATACAGGATACCTTTGCTGTCACTTGTGAAAACACCAAGAGTTTTGGACTAGATTAGGAAGTCGAATTCCAGCTTGCATGTTTGAATGAATGAGCTTTATTACAGTCACTGACCAGCAGATACATCCAAATGTGACTATAACACAAAAATACAATGAAAAGTAGCATAAGGTAGCAATATAATATCGCAGGTACACAATCTGTTACAATGTAACTAAATTAGATGGACCCTCTTTAGTTTCACTGGACTGAGGAGTTCAGCAAATAAACTCAGTAAACTATTTGAATGAATGAGCTTTATTACAGTCCCTGACCAGCAGATACATCCAAATGTGACTATAACACAAAAATACAATGAAAAGTAGCATAAGGTAGCAATATAATATCGCAGGTACACAATCTGTTACAATGTAACTAAATTAGATGGACCCTCTTTAGTTTCACTGGACTGAGGAGTTCAGCAAATAAACTCAGTAAACTCTGTACCACCTCCAGTCTCATTGTCTTAAGTATAGCATACAGAATATTGGGTGGCCAGTACACATTGTTACTAAAGCATTACTAAACATCTAGCTTCGTCTTGATCGGTGCAGCAAACACTTCATTGCTGCTGCACAGAACTTTGCCACTGCTATGGTTATATCAGACTTGTCCAAGAGTAAGAACACGACATAAAATTATCTGGACCTCCCTTGAAAACATGACATAAAATTATCTGGACCTCCCTTGAAATTGTTGCAATATTGGCTAGAAGAGATCCCTCCAAGTGTCTTGATAGAAAGAGCACCTTAAGAGGACATGATCAACACTTTCAATCTCTGCCTTATTGCAAGGACACACACGATTAACAACTGGCAACAGCTTGGATATAGAGATCAGAGTGACACCTTACCATTTATTATGAATATTCTCAGATACAACAACTTGGATATAGAAATCAGAGTGACACCTTACCTGTTTATCATTTATTATGAATATTCTCAGATACAACAAAGGTCACTGTATGGGAAAACAGTATTAAAAATCACAATTACTAAATAAACTCTGACTATGTCAATGTTTGGACATTGGAAGATTCTTCCATAGGCAGGTGTATTTAGGATAGACATACTTCATGGAGAACAAAACTGTGTAGATTTTGTAATCCGCCTCTGCCTCCTCTGTCTTGTAATTGCCTAAATAAAAGGGAAATTATGTTCCAAACTCTCATGTTGAGTTATGTCAGGGCACCCATAACTGTGATTCTCAGAAATGCCACAGTTGACTTTGCTTCAAGTTACTTAGTTTCTGAAATCATCTGTAGAGACAGAAGAGTTGACTGAAAGATGAGATTGCTATTACCTGTGCTTTGAGAGTTTTAACATAGCATTCCTACGTGCCTTTTGTGGTCAAAATACATTCAAAGCAGTGTCCTGAACTTTTGGGGTGGTCATGCTGGCAGAAGTGCAGTGATGTAAATGCAAGCAAGTTGGCACTAGTTAACAAGCCAATGCTGGTACTATTCATTCTGTGCTAGTCTTGTGAGCTGTTCTGTGGCAAGAGACAAAAGTGAGAACTCATTAAGGAGCAACTGAAGTTTACACCGCTTTGCTTACACTGGTATAACTAACCAATAGAATTTTGGCCAGTGTTCCTAAAAGTGTCTCTGAGGCCTTCAGCTATGAAGAATGATTAGTGGGTGGATGTGTTATATTGTTGCCCACATTACTCTAGGATGAGTAAGAACACTAGAATGTCTTATTACTTTAGAAAGACATTTAGCTGATTTGCATCAGCTGGTAGTTCTCAAACGTGCAAAGCCACTAGGCTAATAGTCAGGTAACTGATGGGACACTGTTCGATAACTTGTGGCTTCATATTCTGTCTGGGTTAAAAATAATAAGCATTGTCACTATCCTGACGGTCGTATTTATTTGTTGATTTGATTTTCATCCCAGTCTTTCTCTCAAGAGGGACATGGAGACATCCCAGGTGCTTACACACTCCAACGGTGCCTACACCTGAGCATTGACCTGTGTGCTTGTTCACGGGACTCTGCCAGCAGATGGTGAGAGTTGGTTGAGTAGTGAAAGGAGAATGTGCTAAGACAGGAGTGAGCAAAACAAGGTTCTCTAGATGTTTTTGCATTGCAACTATGGGTTCTATCAGCATAGCCAACTGTGAGCAATGACAAGAGATTCAGCCCAACAAACTTTAGAGGGCCACACTTTCTTCACCCCTCCTCTAAAGTAAGTGAGTGAATAATCAATCTGAACAGGGATGATTATGGATTTAGCAGATCAAAACAAAGGAGGACAATTGGTGGCTTGAACTGCAGCTGCTCGCCTCAAAAAAAAAAATGGTATAAAGGGCCTTTCCCAGCTCGGACCATGAGAAACCTATTAAGCTGTGACATTGTTACTGCCTAATTCCTTGAAAGCTTTTTTTGCTTTAGTACTTGCTGACTTTCTTGAAGCTGAGGCTCCAATACTTTGGCCATCTCATGAGAACAGAAGACTCCCTGGAAAAGATGCTGATGTTGGGAAAGTGTGAGGGCAAGAGGAGAAGGGGAAGACAGAGGACGAAATGGCTGGACAGTGTCATTGAAGCTACCAACATGACTTTGACCAAATTCCAGGAGGCAGTGGAAGAGAGGAGGGCCTGGTGTGCTCTGGTCCATGGGGCACGAAGAGTCAGACACGACTTAACAGCTAAACAACAACAAAACTTGCCTACTTACATCATCCCCATCCCTGCCTTTGATGAATGTTCCTCAAGGCTTGTTCTAAGGGAGCAAACTGTAATACTGCAGCCAGGACCCTGCTCACAACCTGAGTTGATCCCACTGGGCTCAGGTAGCTGGCTCAAAGCTGACTTAGCCTTCCATCCTTCTGAAGTTTGTACTGTAAATTGAGTGCTTGGCTCACAGGGAGTTGGGGCAACGTGTAGCCTGCATAATTGAATTATAAACTGCCCAGAGAGTGCTTTAAGTGCTATGTGATGGTACATAAGCAACACACTTTGCTTTGTTGCTTTATTAAGTAATTGGCTGTATGGGAAAAATCCAACTTCAAAAAAATCCAACTTTCTTAGGAAGGTGGGATATTTTAACTAAGTCTCACCATTGCTTTTTAGTACTTGTGTTTAAGATTGCTCCTTTAATAATGGGTCTCTCCCACTCCCTAACCCTGAGGCTTCATTCACATTGATGAGAAATAGCAACAATGAGACTTTTTATCACCGGAGAAATAACATATTTCATTGGTTGTTTGAAGGATTATCTTCAGTTGGTGCATATACTTTATATTGGTGTGCAGTAGACATGGGAGCTTTGTATTCATCTCCCCTGTGAGATGAATACAAAGCCCACCAGCACAGGTGTTCCAATGGTCCATTCCCATCCCCCAAAACCAGATTGGCCCACTCACTGGGTTCCTTGGTACACGTGAACCCAGCAGTGGTGACATTGTGACAATCACAGATATAGTCCTGCTGATGCTTCCCCACTTTTCCCTGCACCTGACTGCACTGCAGCTGAGTGGGGAGACTCATCTTTCCACCTCCTTGCTGGTTGGTTTTGAAGAGACATGGGGAAGCACCAGTGGGACTACATCTGTGATTGGCATGATGTTGCTGCTGCTGGGCATTCTTGAACCAAGGAGCCCAGTGCGTGGTTCTGTCTGGTTCTGGGGGGTGTGAATGGAACATTAGGATACTTGTGCTGGAGGACTTTATATTCGTCTTCCCCGGGAGAAAAATATGAAGCTCTTATGTCTAGTGTGCAATGCCAATAGTAAGGGGGAAAGGGCCTGGAAATGAAGACATTCATTCTGGAGTACTTCTGCTTAATGTTAGGTATTCATGACAAGTCATTTCTAGTCTATATTTAACATTTATATAGAATTCTGTCGCTTTAGAAAATAATTTTTAAAGAGGCTTTTTGGACCCTGTACATAATCCAGATGCAAAAGATGTGTGATGACTTT